CTGGTCTGTGGACACTCATAATGTATTCGTAAAAGGATTATTTTGGCTTGGTGGGTTAGCCTTTCTTCTGGTTCTTTGGCAGAAAAGCAAAACATTTCTACTTGGAGGTTTTCTATACTGTATCACTGTTCTGAGTTTTGTCCCTCAACACTGTGTCCCTGATATGAGAGGATTTTGGTAAAAGTTTAAGACACCTTGCCTAATGTAGTGGGGATGGGGTAGATTAGAGTTTAGCTACTGACAGAGATTAACTGGCTTGTAACTTCAACAAGAACGACAGTAAGTGTCAATTTCAACACATATTTGTGGAAACTTTAGGTTTGTTAACATCAAAAAGAATGTTCAGATTTCACCATGTTGATCAAATAAAACAGAAGGGAAAAGAAAAAGAAATGTACAATGAGTTCGTTTCAGAATTTGATTATTTTCCTCCCAGTTATTTTTACATTTTGATCTCCATTTATTTTCCATCCCCATACTGTGTAGTTTTATTTTAGCTTTTTTTTTTGTGTCCCATGAAAATCTTTTCACCAGTGCAGCTAAAATTTTTCAAGTGAGTGTTTCAAGCAGCCAGTGAATCAGCTGATGGGCAGAGCACAGTTCAGGGGCAGCCTTTCTTTATCTCACATGGACCACGTAGGGGGGCTCTTTGTGTACATGACTTCAGGTTGGGAGTGGTTGTTGACTGTTTTTTCCTTACATCAGTCCTGGAGGCAATACCTGGAAAAATAAAGGTAACAATCCCAGTGACTCTGTCCCTGAACATGAATCAGATGACATGAAGGGTTTCAGTGGGATTGATGCAGCTAAATGAGGGAGCAGTGGAAACAGCAGAAATAATATGACAGCATAGTAAATTTTCAAAGTTTTGTGTATAAGACAAAAAAATGTAGCTGTGAAGGATTTGCTTGTTTAATTTTATAATTTATCTCCAGATCTTAGTAGAAAAAGAGACACTGATGGCAGAAGTAGTATCACTATAAATATATTTGCATGTGAGCTGTGTTCTACATCCCACCTTTGACATATGTGCTGGTACTTTGGCATTTCATTCATCTTGAACTACAGGGATGGATAGGCCACTTCTCTTTTGTGCTCTTGTCCTTTCAAGAGTTGTTAGCATCAGATTTCTTCCTGAAATCAGATGAGAATATTGGCAGTAGAAATGAATCCACAGCCAAGCAGGGCTGCTGCACGAAAAGGGAAGAGCCTGTCAATTTATTACACACAAATTCCACTGAAAGCAATTTGGATAAAGTGAGTGTCGCAGGCAGGTGGCTTTCACCCAGCAGGGCTTGTACTAGGCTAGGAAGTGAGGATGTGGCCAGTTGTCACAAAAGAGTAAAGAATAAGAACATTCTTCAATTTAAAATTAAACCAAACTGTGTCTTAAATATGTTTCAGTACTTAGTCTTCTTCTCCTCAGTAAATAATATTTTGAAAGATTCAGGAGTAGATGACATGCCCAAATTGCAAACTGAAATGTAGAATCAAACCCCCACAACCCTAATTTACTTCTGTTGGAATGTCCATTTTTTTGTAATTTCCCACATAACTTGTATTTTTAGCTATTTTCTTTTAGAATGAATATTCTCATTTGGGGAATTCTAATTTTTCCTGAATGAATATATACACATGGTTTACAGTAACATAGCAGATTATATATTACTTTTGCAGGAGACTAAGGCAAAATTGAGAAATTATTTTTGTGGCTCTTAGATATTTATTTAAAATTTCCTTCCCTAGAGGTAATTACTTACATAGATTATCCACTCTGCAGGTATTTTTAGATAACTAAAGGTAGTATTGAGTGAAAATATTATATTTTTCAGGAAAAACATTTGGTTTTACTTAGAAAAGTATCCATTTAAATACTTCATTCAAATATTACAATGTTTTTATACATTCAGGCGCTATCGTATGTAGGATTACAGTAATGCGTTTAGCCTTGACAAACATTCAGTCTATTTGTAAATCTTAGAGCACTCCAGTATTTAAAACATATTGGATATATGGTAAAGCAGAATTTTAAGGTGGAAACAAAGCAATATTATTAGGTTTTGTTGATTTTTCAAATTGAATAAATGAACAGTTTATTTGTACGGATGAGAAATTGATTCAGAAAATTATACTGCTAATGAGCCAAAATAAAACTAAATTTTCATAAATAGAATATTCATTTGCTGTATAGTTTTGGGAACTAAGTAAGGAAATGAGAAAAAGTAATTAAAAATCAAATGATCATTCAAAATAAAACTGACAAAGAAGGTTTCTAAGTGGTAACTGCTTTAAATAAATACAGAATTGAATTTCTTAGGTAAATGTGCCATTTTTGTATTTTCTGAACTCAGTGTCTGTATGCTTTCCTGGATGCCTTGTCGGAACTTTGGTGTGCTGTAGGTACAGTATATTTCTGGATGAAACTTCATAGAAGTGTATGTTACCACATAATCCCAAAACCCAAATAATTTATCTCATTTTTTACCTGCTGTGTCCATATAATCTTTTTATTACAGTTAAAGCTCACAAGTATGTTCGTGTTCTTTATAAGGAAAATTATGAGAGAAATGTGCAGTATTTATGTTCGAGAGCAAAGGAGGTAACTAATTTGAAGAAAAAAAATTCAGTCCAGAGTTTTCTCATACTGTATGTGACAGGTCATTATAACCTGCAAAGGAGAGCAATGATGTGTGTTTTAGAATGGTGAGAGATAACTTGGGGGATTTTGTTGCCTGTTTTTTTCCTAATGCAGGCTAAGGTGGTTGGAATTATAGAGAAATAAGAGGTCTATTTAAGTCACTGGTTGTTTCTTTTCCCATGTTAGAAACCAGATTGCTCAGTGCCCTGCAGATCTGCAGTTAACAAATATGTGAGATATATGATGAGGCACTGAAGTATTCATTGATATCTGAAATATGAGATTCTAAACAGAAGAGGACAAAAAGAGTAGGGTTTTGAGGCTTACAGGTAATTCAGAATTACGTTCCCTCGTTTTGCTTATATGGGTGGAAATAGCCATGACTTCCAGGGAAAAGATGGAGTCACAGAGCTGAGTGTTATTTGATTGATATCAAATTTAGATTTGCTGGCACAGAAATGTTTTCATCTCAGATGTTTTCTAAAAAGGCCTAGAAGTACATTTAGTTTTGTTTATTGTTTTAAATGCAATGGGAAATGTTCCTATCTCAGACAAATCCTATTAATTTAGGAAGCCTAATGATTCCATCAGTAGAAGTGTGCATGATCAAACTTAAAATCCTCAAGTGTCTCCATGACATTTGACTGTGCTTCCATCCCTTTAAAGTCCTCATTTGTCAGGTGAGCACACCAGGCTGCCAAGGGGAGGCTCAGTGGTTTTGCTTTCCCAGGACCTGCATTCTGTTTCAGAAGATGAAGAGGAGGAAGAGGAAAGTGTATCTCTCTGGAAAGATTTTAACAGCAGTGTTACTTCCCTGGCTCATCCTTTCCTGCAGAGAAATGCCTTTTTAGGATTATTTCAATATTCATTTTCCAGTGGAAGAACTGAAGATAGCAGACTGATTCCATTGATTGGCCTCTATCTGAACTGTGTGAAATGGGTATTTTAGCAAAAACCCTTGGTATTTTCAGCCTATTTCTCAGAGTAAGTGGTTGCTTTTCTAGTCTCAGTATGTTCACTTACTGGTGGTCAGTTTGTAACAAGCGTTTTCAGGAGTTAAAGCAAAAGCAGGAATTTGTGACGGTAGAGCTGATTATTGCAAAAATTTTGCTGTGACAGTTGTGATTTTGGGGGTTTAAATAAAGGGTCTACTTCCTCATGTAAGGGGTGATCTGACAGTTTATGAGGGGCACTGTAGTATAGGGAAGACCTGGGTGCTTATAAAAGCTCTTGAAAGAGTTTCTACTTAGCAGTGTCCAAGACTTGCATGAGAAGCAAGTGTGTCACCATGCAGTCTATCACAAACTCTCAATGCTCCTCTTTAAGGTGCTTTACTGCTCTTGTCTTACTGGCTTTCCCTGAAAAAAAAAATACAGCTTTGATGTTTCATAGCTGCATGGAAATGCCTCTTTTTTTTTTTTTTTTTTTTTTTTTTTTTTTTTAATACTACATTTTATTCTTTCATTGCCTCCCCAAACATCAGCTTGAGAGGCTGGCTGAGCAAAATTAACATGTTTTCTGTAGCTGCCTCTTTGCCCCTGACCTTGGTACTGTCTGGAGTCCCAGCATTCTCTTCTCTCTTTGTCTCACTGGTAGTGGAAAATCTGGCAACTGCCCCTGTTCAGCTTCTTGCTGTGATATGCTACAGTCACACTGTGCTTCTTGACCTTCAGATGTTTGCAGCTTAGCAAAGTTCAGTCCTCAACAGAGAACACCTTTATAGTTTTCTCCCAATTACTGACTTTTAAAAATTATTATTAAAATTATCATAATCAATATTTTATCTTGGTTTCTAATTATTATTTCAATGACATCTGCTTGATCCATGTAGCTTCAATTCTGGATTCACATTGTGTGCTGCAGGAATTATTTTCAAGAAGTGTCGGTGGTGTTTTTAGACTTGACACAAAGGGTGGATGATAGAGAGAACAGTGGGGCAGTGGAGTGAGATTTGGGAAGAGACAGTGGTCATGAGAGTGAACCTAGAATAAAGCAAAATATGTGAGTGGAGAAGTGAGATCAAAATAAAACATTGGCTTGAAATGAAAAAAAAAAAAGATAAATAGGATGTATAAAAAGGCTGGGAAGTTCATCTAGATGGGGAAATATTTATGCTGGTGAGATATAACACCAGAAATTTCAGGCTGAAAAAGTAAAAAAAAAATATAGACTTTTAATACAAAGATTTGTTTGAGGACCTCATAAAGTACTTAAATATAGCTGGGTAGTCCTAGCTGCCTAGTCCAGTAATTCTTTAGGAGAGGTGTTTCAGTGCTCACAGTTTATGTCCTGATGTGAAGCCTTCTGAAGGCTGGAGCAGTGTCCATTGCACACAGTGGACTTTGGGGCCCATTTGAACGCACGCTGGAGAGAACAGCAGGAAATTAATGTACAGAGAACATTCCTGCCTTCTGTAAGAAGATGGCTTAGCTGATTTAATAGCTTTTTCTCAGTCTGTGATTCCAACAGCCAGGTTTGAGATATTTATTTTAGTATTCATGTTCTTGCAGTCCTTTTTACATTTCTCTGTTTTTCCCTGGCAGACATCCCGCAGCTCCATAAGTCTGGGGGAAGAGGATGGTTAGCATGTTGTTGCTGTGGGGATTTGAGCCTTAACTCTCTGTGTTGTTAATGCTGGGCATATAATTTTAAAACTTGCATGCTGCAGAAGCAGATAATTATTTCCCTGCTGCATTTTATACTGTGGTTTGGGAAAGCAATACATTTCAGAATATTAAAAGAAAGGAAAAGTTACAATTTGGGGAACTATTGGAAATGGAAAGAGAAAGAGGGAAGTAATGGGTGTCAGTCTGGTTATCAGTCAAGCTGGAAGGAGACAGCTTGTTCTGTCAAACACCAAGAATGTCAGTAGTCAGCCAATCACTTATGCAGGAAGAAAACCATAGACTGAAAGGTAAGGTTCAAAGACATCTGTGTATGTTTCTGAAATGAGCTTGAAATCAGCTTGATACTGAATTATCAGCTTGATACTGAATTATGCTTACTGATCCTGTGTGTTACATAGATGATTTCTGTTTAGCGCAGGGCATTCAGGGCATTTCAGTGACTGCTGTTCTTTTTTTTTTTCTTTTTTTTTTTTAAGATCTTTTCTTCCCTCTCCTCTCCTCTCCTCTCCTCTCCTCTCCTCTCCTCTCCTCTCCTCTCCTCTCTTCCCAGAACTTCCCTTCCCTTTCCATCTTGTTTTATGGTTTTTATGTGTCCAGGGTTGGCACTGAGTGACTGTCACTGAGCAGAAGACTCAATATACCGTTGCATTTTTTCCCCTTTTTTTTTTTTTTTTTTTTTTTTTTTAAATCAAAGGAAACAGGTTGTTTTCCCATTTTTCACCTGTACATAGGATGAACTTTTTGCTGGGTGTTTGCTGCCATTCTCTCAGGCTGGCCAAATGGTGTTTGCTTCACTCACTCTCCGTGGGCAAGGGTGGATTCCCTGCTTAAAAGAGCTCTTCAGCACTAAGGGTGTGTCGAGTGGTGTACTGGATGCATTTCTGTTCCCAAACAAATTTGTCTTTTGAGTTAAATTGTGTTGGTATGTGCCATTCCACTAACCCAGAAAGGGGAAGAGAGCCAAAGGGTGGATATTGGGGTACATGCAGGTTTATCTGCTGTTTCTGCAGCAGACTTGACATCTGACTTGTGACAAGCTGTAAAGGACAGAAGCCAAAGAGGAGACTGACAGAAGCTGTTTCCTCAGCTGCTGTGAGCTCCTGAGAGCTTCCCAAGGCTAAAGGGAGATTCTAGGTCCCTAAGGCAATGCCTTAACTCCTTTGAAACCCCTGTTCAGTTGTGTGTAAAGTGGGTACAATCCCCAAATTGTAAAAAAAAAGCTGTATTTTTCAGGTAGTTTGAAATCCTTATGTGGAGGCGTGGAATCATAAATTATTTCTCTTACTGGAGAATATTTCTAGAGGTCACCAGTTCTAATAGTTTCTTTCAAACAGAAGTAGGTTCACTTAGAACAGTTTGCCCCCTATAAAATCTCTGACCTTGACTATTCAAACTTCTTTACAAATGCATCATTTAATACAGGAAGCTCCTTAGGGAAGGTTCTTCACATCTGCTGTCATAATTTCTTATTTCCTAAATGCAGCAATTTATACTTGATTATTCTTACAAGGATCGTGCCTCCCTTCCCTCCCCCTGCTCTGGCACATTCCTTTGTGCTGCTGCTTCTTCTGCAGCCTGAACTGAGCATCTGAGAGTGTTTGAAATCCCAAATTTTCTTTGTTGTTATTCTAGCATTTCCTTACCACTCCGTTCTAGGGGAGGGCATGTAGGAATCTGCTCCTTTATTCTGAGGCTGTTTCGCTGTGGCTTGTTAGTGACAGCAAGTTGTCATCATCTTACAGCCATTCAGCCAGTAACAAAAACCAAGCTGAATCTTTCATTTCGGCTTCCTGAGAACAAGATTTTCCCAAACAAAAATACTCTGCCACTTCTTGGAGCACTTAACATCTGCGGTAGTTAAGCAGAGGACTGCAGCCCAGATTTTTAAAGATGCTTAAGTGCTTTACTGCCACTAAACTGAATTGGACCTAAGTACTTGTAAATAGTTTTAAAAATCTGAGTGACTGTGAAGGCCTCCCTCATCCATCACTCTCGGCAGTGGTCCCTTCAGAATGGCAGAAAGGCACATCAGCTTGGTCACAGAAAATATTTCTAGTCCTGCTCTCCAAAACTCTGCATATTAAGTGAATTGTTGCACTCTAGCATGGCTTTTCATGAAATATGTCTTTGAATCAGATTGCTTGTATTCCCTAGAAGAAAAGAGCCCCTGCTTGCATGAAAGTCAATATTTAAGTCAGACAACTTGTAAAAAAGATGCAAAGTTATACTGTAAAAATACCCACCTTTATAGCTTATAATCCATTTTTTATTAAAACTGGGAAATAAGAGTAAAATTCACATTTAAATTACTTTCTGCTGTTTCTAGGGGATACTCTTTGCATTCCAGTTGGTTTCACATTGTTCTTCCCCTACACATTTTTGGTACTGCTGTTCTACACTTGCATAACCTTCAGGGAAAAAATTATTCCCAAACATAAAACCTGCAGGGATTTTACATTTTTTTAATATTTAGTAACTTTTAACTGTGTGTTACCCTTGGAATCACTCTGTTTTCCTGTGAATTCAGAATGCTGGGCTAGTACTGACTGGAAATTGTTTAAAGAGGGGAGCCCTTCCTATATATGTCCTTTACTCAAGGAGTTGTGTGGTCCTCAAGGAGTTCCTTCAGTGATGCTATAAAACCAGGATCGAGTGCACAGAAAGCCATTCACTCTTCTGTTGATGTAAAGAACAGGCATTTGCAATGCTTCTCTCTAATGTCAGAGAGATTGGGAAAATTTAGTTAAACTAGTTCTTGTTCAATTTACTTACATTTGAGTGCTGTGCATAGTCATGTATTCCATTTCAGGTTTGGTGGGGGTTTTCTGAGGGAGGATGGGGAATAAAACTTCATCAGTTCTATAGAAAAAAAAAAAGAATGTGAATGATTGTATTGGAAAAATATTGTGATTTGATGTGGCTTGGACTTATCTTTTGCGTTTGGATTGAAAGTCTGAAACACTTGAGCTATGTTCTTGTTATAAATGAATGAGCCAATTTGATTAATAAGGAGAATTTATTCCATAATTAAAATACAATTGTAAAAAGGCCTCAAGCAAAGATCAGATTGGTGCTGAACCAGGCTAACAGCATTGGGTGTGACAGGGGGGCTACTATGGCTCCTCTCCTCTGTGCATCACGGAGAGACAGCTCTCACACAGTCATTTCTATACATTTCTAAGAGTAGCAAGTTTACTTTTACTCCGTGCTTCCCACCCCTAGTAAAGCATGTTCACCAGGTTGCTGACTGGAGAAGTTTGTGTACTTTGAGCAGTCTGTCTCCATCCCTCCACCTTCCCCTCCCGTTCCACAGAGCCCTTGTGCCAGAGGAAGTGCTGACAGTGACGCTGCGTATCTCCCTGTGCCGCAGGTGTTTGCGAGGGCAGCGTGCTGGCCGGGTCGGGGGCTGCCATGCTGCTGGCCCCCGCAGCAGGCAGATAGCAGAGATGGCGGCCTGAGGGCGCCGGGACCGCGCGCAGACATGGCCTTCGCCCAGTCCCACATCATGGCGGCCAGGAGGCACCAGCACAGCCGGCTCATCATCGAGGTGGATGAGTACAGCTCCAACCCCACACAGGCTTTCACGTTCTACAACATTAACCAGGGACGCTTCCAGCCCCCGCATGTGCAAATGTAAGTATTATAGCGCTGTTATTGCTCCGGCACAGCCTTCGGAATGGTTATTGCCTTGTCGATATGGTATTCCATGGACCAGTCACAAAGAATTCAAGGAACGCTGTTTTGCCGCCTTTCTAATAATATTTACTATAATGACAAGAAATCAGGCCATTTGAAAAGTACTTTGTTAAAAGATGGGAGAAAGATTCCCTCACTGGTGTAATACATAGTACTTAGGTATTGAAAAGAGAAATAAAAAACAAGTGGTGGCAATAAAACACGAGATGATACAAGGATGATACTTTCTGCAATCTTAATAACTAACGTTTGTTTGCTTTGTGCACTTGCATAATGATGTACGTGGTTGCTGAACATACCAAGCCTGGATCTGTACAGCACACATTCTGTTTGGTTAGTTATTTTACAACTGAATATAAGTGAAAAATCATATAAATACATAAAATACTGTGGGCACCCATCCGAAAACTTACTTTCCAAAACTGCCAAGTGCTTAAAGAGTAATTAAAATAATGTGTTTGTTTCTGACTTCTTAATATAATGACAACATCAGTAAAATTAACTGCTCTAGATGATTTACTTGTAACGTAAAGTGGAGAATTATAATTACAAAATGAAACCTGCCATAAAGTTTAAAGCCAGAAGGAAGAGCAAAACAGTAAAGCTATTACAAATAAATTAAGTATAAAATTCTACTGTAAAATATTTTTATAGGGAATGAAAATGTCTGCACCATTTTATTGCGTATATTAAAGAGAGAAGCAGCCTTATCTTTAGATCAGATGGCTGGTTTTAATTTTTTAAAGAGAACCCTTTTCCTTTAGCAAGACTGAACAAATAGTCACCTGATTCACATTTTGTGTATGTAATATAATTTGATAACTTAAAAGTGTAGGTCATGATTTCTGCAGTTAAAAAACTCAGCACTGTGACTGGTAGAATGCCGTGTGTCTATTTAGTGAATGCTTTTTTGGCATAAATTAGATTATATAAAAAAATCTGATGACTAACATATATATCAAGATGGTGAGCAAACACTTGGTTTTTGGGGGCAGTATATTATGGTCTGTGTTGGGGTATTTTAGATCCTACTGAAATGCAAACAGTAAAATGAGTTGAGTGTTAGCACTGGGAAACATCTTTTGTTTATAGAGCTGGCAAATGGTAGAAAAAGTACAAACAAACAAATGTGGGTTCTAAAATACTTTTACAAATGAAAATGCCAAATGCAGGTTGCCTGATTTGTTGAGGCTTAGCTTTTCTTTGTGAATATTCAGACAGCTCCTGGACACTCAGAAATCTGTTTCCTGATCTTAAAAGCAAAATGTTTTTTACTGGGCTGAAAATAAGTTATTTATTACTATTCACTTGGCTCTCAACAAAATGCTGCTTAAACTTCTAACCAGTAAGAAAACATGGTACTGGAGGCTTAGGCAGTCAACTACTCCATCGAAACCCAGCACCCAAGCAAGGAGTTGAAAATAACATATCCTTAGAAAATAGTTCCTCAGAAGAGTTTAGCAATCTCTCATGAATGATTAATACTATTGAAGAAGCTTGTGCAAATAGAAAAACAGACCAAATCAATTGAAACATGTACCACAATCTGACCTACTCTTTCTCTTTGTACAGAAATAGTAAATAATGTTTCTGAATACCAGCAGGATTGCTTTTTCTTCCTACCAGTGAACAGAATAGTAACAAAGAAGGGAAAAGTAGACATAAAAAGGGTGACAAAAGCACCTTTTATTCACATGATTGTTGTGGGTGAAATCCTAGCCCTGCTTCTGTGCCTGCAAGTTTTGTCCTTAACTTCAGGGAGGTGAAGGCTTTGTGCATGGTTCAAAATACCTCCATTAGTGATGTTGCAGACAATCAGCAAGATTTCATACAGACCTGTTAACATCTGAACTCTCAATAAACTACTTTAACCACGGGTGAGGGGGAGCAGAGGGTTGTATGCTCTTTTTCTTCTGCTCTTCCTTGGTCCTCTGTGCAGGTTTGGATTTCTTATTTGATGTTTTAGCTCCCAGAACATGCTGACAGCCCTTTCTAGACCTGTCATAGTCTGGCATCCCTGTGCTTGTGAGATGACTGGATTGCCTCTGACAAGGAGGATGGTAAATTCTGCCAGTGTTTTCAAGTCCATCAGTCATTTCTGGAAAGTGCCTGTCTCACTCCTTCCTGAAGTACTGAAATCTAGTGTATGAACTAACCTCTAGAAGTGTTTTTTCTTTGAGATGTTCCAACTTCACTTTTCAGTTTCTCTGCAAGTTTTCCTTCTGATCTAAAGAAAAACAAAAGCATTTGCACAAAAATAATCAGCAGATCTGTATTCCTCTGCTTATGCTGCAAGCTGTGCATTGGGTGTTGGTGTGACAGCTGCTGTGGGAATGCGTTACACAAGAATATGGGGATTGAGCCTTCAGAAATTATTTCCAGTAATACAACTTAGATGAGTTTGTGAAACTTGACATATGCTTTTACCTATATATGGTCTCAGTGCATGCATATCACTTCAACATGAGAAATCTGCATCTCATTTATTTGGGTGGCTTTTTTTATATTGATGCCTTTTCCCCACGAAAATTCTCTGGCCTATTGCAGAGAATTTAAAAGTTACACATACCTCAGCAACCAGGAAAATGCTGTCCACACCTTCCCCATCCCCATCCAAAGCATGTGCATTATGTGCTGCATGGGGTTGCCATGGTAAGTCTGCTGTTCTTTCCACACAGCTTCCTATGTGAAACATACACTGCTCCCTAGCACCCGGCTTGCTGCTGTGCTGAGCTTTAAAAGATTTCTGAAAGAGAAGCTGTACCTGCTTTAAAGGCTACCCTAGCATGAAAAGTCAAAGAGTGGTGTTTTGGACCAGTCCATATCCTTCTGTTTGCCAAGGCAGTATCCATGATTTAAAGCTGGCTCAGTAATGCCATCTGTAACTTGCTTTGGGAAGTGTTGGGCAGGGAGAGCAGTAATTCAGTTTACTGCGCTGGTGTTTAATCCTTTTAGCTTGAACAGCTACAGTGATAGCCAAGGTCAGCCCCTCATCATTTTTATCCAACCTTCTTGGTTCATTTTGTGAACTGACTGCACCATCCTTCACCCAGCTCCCACCTGAGGGCAAATCCTCACTTCCCAGTCTGAGCCCCACCATTCACCACCCACATTCCTCTGCACTCCTGCTGCCTCCCCTGGAGCCTGCCCTGTGCAGCTCTCTCCTCCTCCAAAACAGAGGCATTTTTAACATCTCAACTCTTTTCCTTCATCTGCCCTTCCCCACATGCCCTACACAGGGTGTTTACAGCTGCTTGGAGTCCAAGCACTGCACTTTTTGCCACCCAAATTTTGGAGTTCCCACTGCATCCCTGCTTACATATGCCCCTGGCATGTAGTTCATCAGGTAGGATTTGATCACAGCTGGGTTTACCCCTCAGCTCATATTCAACTACTTTCTGCTTAAAACCTGAACTTCAGAAAGACAGCCTTAAGGTGTTTGTACAAAAAGGCTGCTCCTCCAGTTTTGCTATAAAAACCCCAATATTTCTTCTTCCTATGTGGCAAAGATACAAAATAATTGGTTCATACTCTGGTTTTCTAGTTACATTGTAGAAAATGCTAAGAACTTTTTCTGTATTTAACAAGGTTTCAGTGTTTTAGATTTGTTCCTCACCCTATCACTTATCCTGGGAAGTTGGCAAAACCACCTCAGTTTATCTGCCTATGGATTTCATAGATTTTTTGACACAGAGAAAAGGTTGAGTGATTAAAGATTATTATCTTACACCTTTTAAGCTCTAAAATGCTTTTTGAAAATTTACCTAGTAAACAGAAGTAGTATTATTAAAAGAAAATATCTCTGTAATTTTTTCCCCTGAGTTTGTTTATGTAAAAGTAAGCTCCTGAATTAAAGCATAACCAGCAAGGGATAGAAATATGTACTGTATACTGCAACAGGGAGCAAAACTAATTTTATTTGCCCTTTCAAAAGAAATGTTGTGAAAGTAAAATGGTTCATAACATTTCTGTATATCTCTCTGGTTTCTAGTGACATTAATATAACTCTTGCATCTCTTGCTTTTTGATTTTTTTCCACCAGAATTCCCTAACTGGAGTAGCAGATACAGTATAGCTGCATATAGATAGATTTGCTTCTATGTATTCAAACAAAATATGGATTGAGGTTAAAAAGATTGATTTGAAAACAAGTATTCCTTCTATGGCAGAGGCATGTTCTCTGATTTCCTCTTGTAAGATATAAGTGAGTCTCATCAAACTGGGTCAGATCTTCTAGTTTCTTCAGTTTTGAATGTAGAGATTGGGTTCTGAACAATACTGCCTCACCCCTCACAGCATCTGATTTCATTTAGTGTAATTAAGCCCAGAAAGTCGTCACTTTGTCCTGACAATAGTCAGGCTTTAACATACATTTACAGCTGTTAGGAGAGTTTTAATGTTGCTTTGCATTAACACACTGAAACATATCTCCAAAATGTGTTAATTAAATTTGCTCAAATTGAGTAACTTGCAGAAAAGAAGTTATAATTAAGGAAAAAAAAAGCATCTAAATGTATTTATGTATCTAAAATAAATCTTTTTCCTGTGTACAGTGTAATCATATTTAAACAATGAAATGGGATAGTACTTTTCCTTTGAAAATGGCAATACCTTTTATTTATTTGTATTTGTGTCAGAGTTACTGCCAGAGTCCAATCTCTTTTCCTTAATCTCTTTAAATTAATCTATCTACCCAACAAATACTGCAAATGTTGTGATGTGAACATCAAGAATTTTTGCACCTCCCATTAGTGTTAGGTTTGTTTTAACAAATCCTTCCATCAGGCAGATTTAGAAATCTGTGTACTCTTTTGTAAAGGTAAAAAAGTAGTGTCAGAATTGCAAAGCAGACACTAAGGAGTAGGTAAATACTTTGTAACCTTGTTATGATGCATTTCCTGCAGGGTTGATCCGGTGCCCCATGACGCTCCGAAGCCTCCAGGATATACACGATTTGTCTGTATTTCTGATACTCACTCAAGAACTGATCCCATCCAAATGCCATATGGAGATGTGCTAATACATGCTGGTGATTTTACTGAGCTGGGGCTTCCTAGTGAAGTAAAAAAATTCAACGAGTGGCTAGGTAGGTATTGAATTCTGTGTGGATTCAACAGTAAATTTGTTTACTGATTGTATCTGCCCCTTCTGCCTCCCAGTTAAAAACCATCACACACTCAGAAATCATGAATATTAATTTGACTTTTAGATTTGAATGGCAGTGAGCGGGAATCAGATTTTTTTTCCTTAGATTCAACAAATATTTTTGCATTTTTCCAACTGAGCAAATAGGATTTGTGAGACTATTCATCTGTTCTGCCTTCACACTCTCAAGTGTACATTAAGCAACTTCTTGGTGTTAGCAACAATTGAAGTCAGGAGGCTTTAATGATTTGCATAAAACCTCTTGCATACATTGTTACAGCTTTGCTGCCTCCCCTAAAAAGTTGTTGTGACTGAAAACATTTTTCTGTTTAACCCCAGAGGGCTCATAGGTTTGAGGGTTTTTTTTATATCTGAGGCTCAGCTGCGCCACAGAGATGAATTCTGAACAAAGCAAACCCTGTGTGCCTGTGGTTGCTGCCTTGGATGTAGCAGACCAGATGTAGATGCCTTCTGTAGGCAACTTTTGGCATTGCTAACTGAAATTCTGTTCCACTGGGCAAGAGAGCGATGATTTACATGTGCTTCTGCAATGTTTTGTATATGCTAAAAAAAAAAAAAAAAAAATTGGAAAGCATGCACTGTATCCAGACAAAAACCCTCATCAGTGCTGTTCTTGCAGCATTGCAGATACCTTAATTTAGAATAAAAGTGGCTTCTGGATTTTAGGACTTTATTAATTGAAAAAAGGTGAGAGGGAATGAAGGAGTTGGAGAGAGGAAGTACACAATTTAAGGGTAACAGATTTCAAGTTTTATGTTGATTTTCTTTCTTATAGTTGATATCTTTGCGTTTTTTTCCTTTTTTTTTTTTTTTTTTTTCTACATATTGCAGCAATCCACTAGGAAGGCACAAAGCAGACAGATGCATGTAGGCTGAAATGGAATTCAAAAAGGAAAGTCAGGACTTCACAATTTAAACAAATATTTACTAGCAAATAATTATTAGCAAGGCTGATAAATATTTATTTGAGCTCAGGAAGCCAATAATATGCCCCACATGGAACAATTGTTTTTTTTCTGTGACTATGAAGGTAGGAACAGCAAGTGGAATAATTGATATAGAGCCATCAACTCTGTCTCTGCACCCAAAGAGAACAGGTTTGTTATAAAACAGCAAGTTTTGACCCTATTTTGTAGGTCTTTACCATGTATTATAGTAATGTGCTGAAAATAGCATTTACAAATTATTCAAACCATATGGTTACCCCTTCTAAATAATCCTGATTTTATTTATCTGCTGGTGTGGGAAGAGAAGTGCTTTGGGATATTGCTGGTGAGCAAGGATGGGGCTGTGCTCATTGCTTGCTGCAATTGGAGTTTTTGTCTCCAGTTCTCCATCTGCCTCCCTGCTGGTCACAGCTGTACCGTGTTCTGAAGATGTCTGTAAGCTGAAATCCTCTCAGAATGGTAGGAAGATTTCCCAAGGCATTTCTGTGATGTTCTCTTCATCATTTTTATTCCAAAAAAAAAGGGCTTAATTTTCTGACTTTTCAGGCATGCTTCCAATTTCATGGTAGCGTGCGCTTGGGAAAAGGTGATCTTGGTGGTTGGAGTTATATTTTTGCAAGAGCAAAAGATTTGAGATACAGGAAGTTAGCAAGTTAAAAGGTTTTTGTTCAGTTTCTTGGCAATTTAAAATAAAGATTTAACTTAAATTTTTAATAAAGTTTTTGTTTGGTTGTTTATCAACTCTTGAATATACTGAGTGTTCACAAAATCTGCAGTAAATGGCAGAATGGTTAAAAGCATCCCCATTGAGAAGGAATTTCAGAAGGTTTTGCTGATTGTCCATTTTTTTGTGAAGGTGTTAGTCTCCAACAGGTTTGATTTTTCTAGATAGCTGCTTCCAGTACCTTCCATAATTTTGCAGCTAATCCAACCTTCTTACTTTTCCTTAATATTTTACTGGTTTCTTGAGAAAGTAACTGACAGACTCTGGCACCAACTTTTCCTCCAGTGACATTCTTCCTTGCTGCTGCCAGATTTCCCTGTTTATTCCTTCATGTACAGGGCTCACTTTCCCACTTCTTTGTCTAATCCATGTCTCCTGCTGTCCTTAGATTACAATTTTGTTTTTGCCTTGCAATAAACACCAGGTTTGGTACAGCTTCCCTTGATCTCAGCTTCCCCTCAAGCACGAGATGCAAACCCTCTTTCTGCTTTTGCTCCAAGTCTCTATGTGCATCACTGATTCCCACCTTTCAGTTTTCAGTTCTGCCATACCCTCTTGGGTCTGTGCCACTCTGATCTCTCTGTTTCATCTTTCCAGATGAACTCGCCCTTCAGCAAGTTCAGATTTTATCTTTGCGCTTTACACAAAACTCCTGTGCCTGTCTGATGGAAAATTTATTTTACATTACCGTCATTAACTTCCATGGGCCTTATGGTTCTATCAAGCACATGCTCAAGTGTTGTGCTAATAGAGGCACATTGGCTGGATGAGTCATCCCCTAAAATCTGTTCTCTTTTTCTGACAGTCCGTGGTTCCCATGAAGGCCGCCACCAGCTCGGTAACGGCGCTTACGATCCCAGAATTGTCCCTGCCTGGGGCTGGTACCCAGGTGCTCTGTTTTGGCAGCCCTTTAGTCACCAAGTTTTATACTTCTGACCCCTAAAGCCCTCTAGTTCATTTCAGTTTGTTCTTTCTGGTGATTAATTGCTTTCTGTCATGTGTGTTTTTCTCTAAGCCCTGTCTCAGGGAGAGAGTTGAGGTTTCACTAGGACTGGCTTGGTGTCTAATTCTGTGGAAGAGATAAAATGTTGGTGATCGCTGTCTGGGCTTATTTTCCCAGCCTTCTCTGGTAGGCAATCCAGCATTACTTTTAATTTAATATATAGATTTTTCTTCTCTGAGTTTTTTAATAGCATTTTGGGTCTGTGCAAAGTATGAGCACAGACAGTTTTGCAGCAGAGTTCCAGAATAAGCACAGTTCATCCCTGTGCTGTCATAACAGGGATGTTGAGATGAACTGTGCTTATTCTGAACCTGTCACCTACTAGTTTCATTTGGTATTTCCTAATACTGGAAGAGGCAAGTGAAAAAATTTATCATTCTTTATTCTGCTTAAAAATTTTTAGGCTCTTTCCATATCTGCCCCTAAGATATTTTTCAGGCTGAAGATTGTTCAGAAGTCCTTAAATGCCTTTGATCATCTGTGTCACTCTTTGTACCTCTTTGTTCCTCATCCTTATAAAAAGAGTGAGACCAGAACTGCACATGTTCTGAGAACACTACAGATTTATTCCCTGCACAATGAAATTTCCTAGTTCTCTTTTCCTTTTTGGTCTTGTGGATTATTCTGTTTTTAACAGAACAATGAGATGACATTTTTCAGGGTAACTTAGGAAATTAAGGGAATAGGGGATGAATAGTCAGTTTACAAAGCATACAAACAGTGCCAACCTGCTCATTGCCCTCCCTTCGTTTTTTTCTGAATATACCCCTCTCCTGCCATCATATCTCAACTTTTTCCTTTTTTTATCTAGTTTGTTCTCTTACTGTATTTTTCTTCCAAATTTAAAAATTCAGTTTTGGAGAACCAGAATAAGATGAAGTACAAGGTATGTTTTATGGTAGGAATGAACAGGAGGCCAAGAACCCAGGGAAACTTTCTGATGATTTATAAGAATGCCTGGTATGACTTTGAATGTGTGCTAATTTTCCAGCATGTTCAGGAGATTTTAATGATAACATTTCAAACAGACAAAAATAATCTGCAGCTTTTTCATTATTTTGGGTTTTGTTATTTATTCCCTTCCTTACCTGCATGTCAATCAAACATGTTGTAGGACAAATACAAAGACATATGTCCTGCCTTAGTACACTCATCAAATACTGACTCCAAAACCATCTCTATTTTTTATCTCCTATATTGTTGGCACTGAAAATTGCCTGCTTGGCTCAGTTGCTCATGTAATTCCCTTTGCTCAAGCCTGTAATATTATTTCCAAATTGTGCATGCTCCAGGACCCGCTGTCACTTTGAGCTTGTGGGTTACTTTCCTGGAAATTTAACTAAATAGCTGATCTGTGGTATAAGCTGCAACACACACTTCCATCTTTTCTCTGAGAATTCCCTTCTGTGCATGGATCGGGAAGATTACTTAAACTAACACATTGTGTAATATATATTGTTTCAGTGTGTTTGCTTGAGATTTTCCAATTTCTAAGACAGACTTTCTATTTGAGATTCAAGTTCAAGGTAAATTGGAAATAAAAAAAAGAGAAAGTGACTTGCAGTTGTAATGGAAAACAATAATTAGCTCTTCAGAGTATTTTCCTGAAAATATTATTACATGTTGTACACACACAAACACAGACAAAAAAAAGGATTACATTATTTGACATGCATTTCAGAAGTTGACCTAGGAAAACTCAGCACAAAGGATGAGATTTTTTTTCAGACTAAAAAATAATTTAGAGTGAAGATGTCTACCAATTGTAATAATTAGCATTACTAGAACATTACCTGTTTCTAGAATTAGATTGTATTTGATCTAAACTTGTAGTATTAGATTCTGTAGACAGAATCAGAGATTTGTTAATAAATATTATCTCTACTTTTTAAAGGTTTTGAAAAAGATCTTCAGAAAAACTTGTGGTCACTAGGCTTAGCTTTACTTTTGCTTTACTGCTCAGCTTTGCAAAATGATAGTAATTATTTTTCTTCCTCTCTTAACAGGTATATTTTTAAGTTCAGTAATACTCACATTTAAACCAGATTAAAACCATGTTGAAGGTGAAAAAAATCAGCTTCAGAGCAGCAAAAGGAATTAGAATTTATATATTGTAGTCATGCCATTTTGACCATCGATAATTACACTATTTTTATGTTAATGTAGAAATCCCTTGAAAGAAGTATTTAAGCATTAATTATCTATTTACAAAAGAATGGCTTTGGAAATGCAGTGAAAAACATTGA